ATATTACAAAAGAATATGAAAATGTTGTTTTACAAAGTATAGAGATTATTAATAATATTAAGCTAAATAAGATTATTTCAGATATTTTTTTAAACAAGATTAAAAAGGATCTAGAAACTTATTTATTATAATATAAACAATTTAACTATCTTAGCCCAAAGAAAATATAGAATCTCTATAAAGTTATAATATTAGGAAAGTTAATTAAAGTTCTATTTAAGATTTTTGTATATAAAGTATGTATATTCATTAAGATAAAGAATCTAATCCTAAAATAATTCAGTTTTTATAAGATAAGAAGATTAGATTTCATTTATTTTGATATTATTGATTTATTTCCAAAATCCTTATAAAAAAACTATTACTTTCTATTAATTATAAATAGCTGAATAAGAATGAATTGAATTTTGATCTTAAAAATAAAAGATAAAGTTATATTAAAATTAAAAAAATGGAAAACTGAATTAGAATTTGGTATTGGTAATAAGATAATAGTTGCTTAAATTGATAATATATCAAAATTAATTTAAACTATTAAAGAATAAAACTCTAGGATCTAATTAAAACTGATTACTATAATATCATCTTATCAAAATGAAATTGCTGAGAGAAATATCAGCATTATTGAAGCTAATATAAAAACTATATTAAAAAAGACTGGATTATTATTGGAATTCTAAAATAAAGTTATTGAATATGATATATATTATAGGAATAGAATAAATATTAGACCAATTATTAATAATAGTATTATTAGTTTGATTAAAGTATTTATAAAATCAATCCCGGATATCAATTATTATAGAATATAGGGAAGCAAATGCTATATATATATTAATCTAAAGATAATCCCAAAAAATCAATAATATAATGAATTATAAGATATAGTCCAAATAGGTATTTTTATAGGATATTTATACATAATCAATAGGTATGTTAGAGTATATTTGCTAAAGTTAGGTTATATTGTATAAATAAACTAAATAATTATAAACAAATTCAAAAAAGGGGGAGACTTAGATTTGAGAATAAGAAATTTTGTATCAAAATCTTAAGGCATAAAGAACATTATTTCTAATAAAAGATCTAAAAATAGATTTTATAAAATACAAAAAGTATAAAAATCCCTATTTGAATTCTTATAAAATACTATTATTTCTGAATTCCTGAAAATTATAATTTTTAATATATTCAAAATTAATAATATTTAAAAATTCAATAAAGATAATAAAAGAAATATTATAGAAATTAATTTATCTATAGAATTAATTTTATTTCTAGAAATGAAAGAAATAGAGATATTAAATACAACATCTAAAATCAATAAATCTTTAATAAAAACCCTAATTATATCTATGAATATAAACTTTCTTAAAAGATATTCTTTTTAAAAATATAAGTGAGATAATAGTGAATTAAATAAGTATATTCAAAAACTAATAAGAATAATAATAATAATATTCTTAATAGATTTAGATAAAAATACTATTAAATATACTATAATCTTTATACCCCTTATACTAAGGATCAATTTGAATATTAAAATAAAAGTTTTTGAAAATCTTTAAATAATCTTAGGGAGCTTTATAGATAAGGATATAGTCTTTTTTATAAAATAGATTTTAGAAATCCCTATTTCTATTATAGATAATTAGATAGTCTCAAATCTTAAATATAATAAAAAATAAAAGCAAGTTGTTCAAAAGGAAATCAGTTTATTAATTGAAAATAATATTTGAAAAAAATATATTTTACTAAAAGAAGGGAATTTTGTTTCAATAAAATAAATATTTATAATAAAGATAAAAAACAATAAGATTAAGAAATTCAAAGTATAATTAATAGCAAGAGATTTTAATCAAGTTTTTGAAAAAGACTATAATAAAACCTTTGTTTCTATAATACAACTTAATATATTTTGCTTATTCTTAGCAATTATTACAAAGGAAAACTTGGAATACTAGCATTTTGATATAAAAAATATTTTTATAAAATTCTATTTTAAAAAGAAAATATATCTTGTATTATTTTAGGGAATTAATATATTAGATGAATATGTTTTATATATATTATAGAGTTTATATAACCTTAAATAAATTGAATAAGATTGGAATTAACTTTTAAAATCTAAATTAATTAATTAGGACTTTATTCAAAATCTTGTTAATTTATGTTTATATATATATGTTACTCGATAATTTAATTTATTAGTTTATATTAATAATATAATCGCTTTTTCGATCTTAAAAAATCAATTCAATTCGTTTTCTATAATATTTTTCTTATACTTTAATATCAAAAACCTAGGGGAGATTAATAAGATTCTAGATATTAGAATTATAAGAAATCAAGCAAATAAATTATTTATATTAAATTAAAAAGAATATCTGAAAGTTATATTTATAAAATTCGGAATTTTATATATTTAGTATTATATTAAAAAGATATTTATTACTAATTATTTATATTTATAATTAGCTATAAAAAACAATAAACTAATTAATATTATCAAATATTAATAAGTTATAGATAGCTTTATTTATCTAATAATATATACAAGATCAAATATCTTCTTTGTACTAGGCCGATTGTTATAGTATATAGCAAAGCTAATGAAATACCATGGAATAAAAATAAAGAACTTAATACAATACCTAAGGGCTATAATCACTTAAAAACTCAAATACAGGCTTAAGGGAGTATAATATTAAATTATAAAGAAATATAATTTATTAATAGATATTATAAAAGTTTTTATTAATATAGATTGGGCAAGTAATTGATATAATCGGAAAAGTATTTCTAGGGGAGTTACTATATTCTATAAAGAATCAATATTATAAACTAATAAAAAATAGAATTTAGTAGTAATATTAAATACTGAATTTAAATATATATTAATAGTGATGTTCTCCAAGCAAAAAAAATAATTAGCCCAAATATTTAAAGATTTTGGAAAGATAGAATATATATTTGTATATGGAGATATTATTCAATTATTAAATAACAATTAAGAAGCAATAGCTCTAATCAAGAATCTGTATTTACATAAACAATTAAAATATATTAATATATACTATTATTTTATTAAGAATCTTATTAAAAAACAAAAGGTAGTAATTAATTATATTAATATATTAAATATAATAATAAATAAAATAACTAAATTTTTGGTAAGAGTAATATTCAAAAGATTCAAGAATATACTAGAATTAAGATTATAGAAATATAAAAGATTAAGGAGATTAAAGATGATAACTCCTATAAAGAAATATTAAAAGAAATAGAAGTTATTAATACTAAATATGTATAGTAATTAATAATATGATTATTTAAATGGGCTAGATTAGATAAACTATAAACAGGCATATTAATCCCTTTATATAATATTATAAGAGAATTAATATGCTTATATATGTAGTAATATAGTCAATACAGAGGCCTCTTCCACCCAATCTTTTAATATATTAAATAATTACCTTTTCTTCTAATTCTATAATCTTATAACAATTCATTCGAATTTCTATACAAAAAGATAAATCTTCTATTTTATATCCAAGAATTATACAAAAAATATTATAAAGTATAACAACCTTTTGAATACTTAATTTTTTATCTTTATAAATAGTTTTGATAATAAGAAGTATATAAGCTTTTTGATTATTCGAATTTATTATAGATTATTAATAAAATATATATTGAAAAAGATAGATGTAAATTGAGGTAAAAATAGGCTACTCAATGATATGAGCTATTCGATAATAAACCACGTTAGAAGATTATTAGTAAATAAATTGAATTGATTCGTTGTATATACTTTCTATAACGTAGTTTAACACCGAGTAGGCCATATCACCAAGTGGGCCATTATAAATACATACAAAATTCGTTTGTGTATAACTGTGTACTTTCTTTATTTAATAATATAATTTTACAAATTTTAAAATTATAAAATCTAATTATATAAATATTATAAAAATCTAATTTATTTTTCAAAATTCTAATTAATATAGGAGTTATTATTAATATAATATTTTTGTAATGAAAATCGTAACAATTTCTGATTTTTATAGAATATAATTTAAATTTTTATATAAAAACTAAATATTTATATAAGAAATCTTTTCTTATTAATAAATCTTTTTTTTTCTAAAAAATATTAATTAATTATTAAAATGTAAATATTAGAAAAAGGCTAATTTTGGTGTATTTTGAAGTGGCCCACTCGATGATATAGCCCACTCGGTGTTAAACTACGTTAGTATAGAATGATTCTATAAGATTCGATTGAAATCGATTTTATTTACAATATAGAAACCACTAAAATTTTATTATAAACTATATAAACCTAGAATATTTTTGGAAAGAAATATGGAAAAAGCAAGCAAACTCAAACGAACTCGATTCATATTTATCATTTGACTTCAATTTAACTCTTATATCGTATATATTCTTCCTAAGCTTGTAGTGACTAAGTCTTCTACTAATATTATAATAATATAAAAGCTAATCTCTGAGAGATTATAAGTCTGGCTAGTCTGTACTAGCTTAAATGAGAATTAGCTTGATTTGAGACTGTATAGTATATGAATACACTTATTGAGCTATCGAATATCAAAACTTCGAATCAATTCAAACAAAGTTATATCGAAGCCGCCTACAAATAGACCCTGTGGCCTGCGTTCCTGAAAGTAAACCCAATCAGTCTTATTGAATTACGTCTCTAGACGATATATCTATACTATAAGCTACTTGAAGTGAGTAATATATCAATGTTCTTCATACCAAGATGTTCTAGCTTATTTAGTCTTTGTTTGTATAGAATCAAGTAAAGAGCTGATTTAAGAAGTAGCCGGTCTATTCGATTCTTGGACTTGAAAGTCGACTACATATCGATTATAGTATTATATCCATTCATATATTACTACTAGTATCGATATATACTAGTATCAATATATACAAGTCTGTAAAACCAATTAGTCTATCATAAAGAACCTAAAATGGATTCTGAAATCTCTTTTATACCTGAAGCTTTAAAAGGTAGATCTAATTATATGGAATGGAAATACAGATCGGAAATTTACCTCGGAATTAATGGTTTTATGACTTATATTGATGGTACAGAAGCACCACCAAATAAAGCTCTCTATACAAATTCAAAAGGTGAATTTCTTTCACGCGAATTGGCAATTACATATAATGATAACCTCTCTGAATATCACCGAGATGAGAGAAAGGCATTAGGAGCTGTTCAATCTATAACTAGCTCCGATTTAGTCGGAAGATTCATGGACAAAAAGACGGCTAAAGACCTTTGGGACTCCATTAACAAGGTTTATGGAGAGTCGTTTACAAAGTAAGGAAAAACGACGCATTCTGATCATAAGGAAAAGCACCTCGTTGTACTTCAGTCTGATTTTTAGTCATTTTCTGCTTTGAAAGATTTTCATCTAGATAGTCGAAACATGGGAATATAGAAGGGTTTTTTGTTGTTGTCACGGTCGTCTTATTCATACTTATTCGTGAAATATAGGAAGATATATAGAGATGTGACAAAAAATATTCAAATCATTATCACAACAGTACCAGTAAAAAACAACTCAGAGAATCAAATGCTTGTAAAGCCTTCAGCAATTATCAACAGCAACCCAGCCTCCCTGTCTCTCCCAACAAGATTCCATCTCTTAATCAAAATCCCTCAACAGCACTGAGGGCCCGTTTGGATCAAGTTCTTTTTGACATTAGACCCGATATGTTAGTCAAATATGTTGTTTACCGAACGCGTGATTGGACTCAATGAGAATGATTTCTCCAGTTTGTGACCATCTAGCTGGTATATCTGGTCAAGAAATCATATTTGAAATGTCATGTAATGTATCGGTACTCACTCATCATCCATATTGACGCTCATTACTCTACGTGACTTTGCACCTACCTGGTGGATATTTCGTTATACACACCAATACTTGTTACTTGTACCATTCATTCGCACAAGACACTTTTCTTCTCATCATATGATTTTTCAAGATACTTGCAAAAGTTGTATATAATTCCAGTAATCGTGAGCAGTGAAGAAGCAAAGAAAACAGAAGTCACGGCACTCAAACTCGCTTAAGAATCGCAAGGTGAGAAACGGACGAGATTTTTGGGGTGGGAAATTGGATGAGAAGTCTATAGATATATATACTACTTTACTCTAATCAGTTTAGTATCATCTCTTCAATTGTGAGAATTGTAAGAATTGTGAGAAAGCGAGATCAAGTACAAGTATAACTACGCTCAAATGTTATGCTTGATGAAATACGATATTCAAAATACAATGAAATATTCACACTGTCACTTTCCACTTCCATTATCGACGCCCGTCGATTTTCCCAACTTTTGCTACCAAGCCAAATTCCCTAATATCTCATCACACACCGATCCATTCATCTCCACTTCCCATCTCAATAAAACCAGATGCAAACGATATAAAGCCAAATCTCTAGTCACCTAAAGCCTCGCCTCAAGCTTTTGGTTGGGAACAGATATCAATGTTCTCCGATTTAGATAACTTGTAGGGGTTTTATAGGGAGGGAACTTCCACTTCGCCTAATTTTTGACCTTTATTTGTGTCAAAACTCTACCTCAAGTATATTGGATACTCTTCCTAATCCCAGCATTCACTTCTCATCCCTTCGTTTTCTCTATCCATTTCTTCAATTCAAGACTCGAGCGCCCCGGCTATTACAACGCCTGCATAAAGACAAATACTCAAATACTCAGATCATCAGTTTAACAAAACCACACACAAAGTCTTCAATTTCAAGATACCTAATATCTCGAGAATAACTTATTTACCTCCCACAAGCTGATAAACAAGCCGGAATCCCATTGAAAAGTAAACAAACTATTCCAACAGATTATCCATCTCCTACTGATTCATATGACTATCTACACACATATATACTCATAGAATCTACTAGACAATATATATTATATTTATAACAAGAACCATAATTTACAACAAGACTTACTTTCTCATCATCTCTATCTTGTATTATTATTATTATTATTATCATATCATAAATACACCTCTCTATCCCCTTAGGAACTCCCAAATAGCTAATCTCACCCATGTATAAATGGATACTCACCTCCATCTTCACCTCCATCCCTATCCCTAAGTTCATATTCATCCTCCCACAAACCATAAAAATCCTACAGCACATACAAGTAAATTCCCCTTCACTCCTCCTTACTCCGCATCACTCCCCCACCTTCCAATTCATCAAAAATCTTCTCATAGATCAAAGCCTTCGATATCTACCTACTTATACTCATCATATCCCTCTATCTACAAAGCAAACTCTCCATCCCCTCCAACTCACCCCCTCCAACTCATTCCCTCCAATCCAACTTCCCCACCCTCAACTCTCTAAAAATCACTAAAAATACTCAGATTCATCCCTATCCCCATCCCCATTTCTCCCTCCTCCCTCCTCCCTCCTCTCTCTCATCCCCTCCCAAAAAGAAAGCCAAAAAGAAAACGAGAAAACGAACCCCCGATTTCCCTCCCTTCCCTCCCTTCCCTCCCTATGCCATCTCTATGCCACCCATTTCCCTTTCTTTACCTTTCTTCCTTTCTTCCTCTCCCCTTCTCTTCCCATTTTCTTCCCCCTTTCTTCCCCTGCCTATCCATTCAAAAATCCCCAATCCCCATTAATTCGCCCAAGACTTATATTATAATTCAACAATTTGCAAGTCCTCCTATCAAATTAAGATGTATTATATCGTATCGTACCATGTCATATTTGTATTATATCTCCTACTTATATATTCTATCCCATCTCATATCCCATCTCATATCCCATCTCACATTTCCCACTGATTATCACGGTGCAAGGGATAGGTACTAGGTAAGATGCACGATATTCTACAAGGAGTGAAGAAGGAGGCCGAGAGGCGCCGACTATATGGAGGGTAGATGCCTAAGGCATCTACATAACTACGTATTGAACCCGTAACACTGATTCTCTAAACCTCTCTCCCTATCCCATACTTGCTATCTCATCTCATATTTGCCATACAATCTAATCTTACTATTCTATCATCTTTATTTTATTTTTTAGCTCATCTATTCATTCCATTTTATTCTATTCAATATCTCTATCCCATCTCATTCTATTCTATTTCATCTTCCTTCCTCCTCTATACATATCCCATCCCATTCTACTATCTTATCTTCTTTTTATCTCCTTACCTATTTATACTTTCTCTCACCCCTCTCCCTCTCCCTCTCCCTCTCCCTCTCCCTCTCCCTCTCCCTCTCCCTCTCCTCCCTCCCCTCCCTAATCCATCTCCATTCAAGTTTCAAATTTCAAGATCGATAACTTTGGAATACAGCTATTCATCTAAACTCGGCTAAACCAGAATCTATCTTTCCTCCAAACAAGAAATCTCTTGTCCCCTAGATGGTACTCATATATCTCACTTGATCGAATCCAATCACTCACTAAAAGAATCACAGCTTACACTTACACCTACCCATACACCTGCACTTCCTCACACACCATCAAATCCAAATACACAAGAATTTCTTCACATTTAATATTGTATGTCCATATACCTATGTTTCGCTGGATCATCCCAGGAACCGTATTCCTATTCATCTACACCCATACCAAGCAACTCATTAACAAGCCAGAAGCTTTCCGAGATGAATTAATTTTCAATCCCAAATGTATGTACAATCCACCGTTTGCTTTTTAACCTATTTCCTCTCACCTCCACTAAGCACATGTATGCATCTTAATAACAAGTTCAAAGAATAGAAGACATCTCTTTTGAGCATCTCATCCAACAATTGAACCAGGCGATCGCTTGTGCGTGTAAAATCTATGAATACAGTTTGAAATGAAAAATGAAAAGGTTTGCCGAAACAAGCCACACCAAGGATTGTTGTAGTCATATGACGAATTACCATTATTAATTTGGTAAGTGTTGAATATGATACGTATTCCAAGTGCTGTTTTTTTTTATGAATGAGCCCCAAATCTTTCAATTAAACTCTGGCTGTCTTCGGGAAGGGTATTATCCGAGATGATTCGCTGAAAACTCCAACGTTCACCTAAATTGCGGTGAAAACGTTCAAATCCTGTATGTTTCTGAAGGTGGAAAAAGAAGGTTCGTAATATCGTGTGGCGAAAAGAGAGAGGATATAATTATTGTTAATCGGGATCAGGGTTGACAGCTCGAAGTACTGGTCCTTGATGAACGCGCCTCGAGTAATCGTGATCATCTCGAATCGTATTGATACTCTCCCGACTCCTATTCTCTCCACGTTGATAAGGAGCCGCAAAAGGATCCAATCTTGGATCCACAGGCATCAATTGACTCCTCCTGGACCCAGGTGTATGTAATTCGGGTTCCCATGTTTCGACAACGCGTTTTCCATCGGTGCCGAGAACAAATCGTGAATTTTCGCTCATGGTTCTCGATGGTATGGGTCCACCCACACCGGCGACACCGGCTAGGCTTTCCCTTCGACTATTAACGGCTGCGTATCGTTCGGCTTTTTCTTGTCGTCTCTTCCGTATACAGAAGTATGCAATACCAGCGATAATTGCGATTAAAGCTACGAGACCAATCGTGAGACCCACAGCAGCTCCGGTTGTCAAACCTCCATCTCCTTTCGAACCCGACGAGTCGCTGCTTGAATTTGGTGGTGCAGTTGGAGTAACAGTAACCGTTCGAACTTGACCGGTGATAGTTTCGAGGGATATGACGGGAGTGGGTGTCCATGTAGAACTTGTCGAGCCAGATGTAGACGAAGACGACTTCTGGGCAGCGACTGTAGTGGGTGGTATTGTTGAAGTAGTGGATGCTTCCGTGGGGCTAGTTGATGAAGTTGTTTTCTGATGGGAAAAGTTAGCTTGGCGACTTGACAAATTGTTTATTTTAAATTAAATAGAAATTGAAATCAATTTGAAATCAAAAAAAAAAAAAAAAAAAAAAAAAAAAAAAGAAAGTCGCGTACGGGTTGAACGATAGTCGAAGAAGAAGTGGCTTCAACAGTTGAAGAAGAAGTTGTCACTGGTTCAGGACTCGAAGCCGAAGTAGTTACCTAACATTGAAAAGACGTCAAATGGGTTGCCAGTCAAGGCACACGAGAGAGCATGGAGATGGTGGCTCAGATTGAGAGAGGAAAGGAGAAGGGATTGTATCCAAGTACTAACCTTCTCAGATGAAGTCGAAGTCGGAGTCGAAGATGTAGTAGCCGCTCCTTTGGTTCCTGATGGAGCTAATGTCAAAGACATGTATCCGTATAAGCTATCTCCACCACACGTATCATCTGGATAACCTGGGCATGGGGTATCGCAATTGCTCGTCGAAGAGGTAGTCCCAGGCACATAATTTGAGCACCAACATTGTGATCCTTGTACCACCGCAAAAGCATATTCATCCAAGCAGAAGTCGTAACATAGACCATCGGATTGATAGATAGAGGAATCTACACACAGGTCAGGATCAGCCATTGTCAAACACCAATTGATTCATGAAGGTTGACTTACTGGCACTGCCAGAGCCCGTATTCAAGGTTGAGCAATACTCCATCGAAATTCCCTGAACATGTTTGAGAAAGGCGACGAGGCAAATCGCGACGACCCCAAGCCGATAAGAATCTTGCAGTGAATAAAACATGATCAATTACTTTTGAGGAGGAAGTATCTCCGTGCTGACTTTATTGAATTTGAATTTTTTCCAATCGCGAGGTTATCGATGAAGTTATCGATGATTATATATGTCTTAGCTGTTGCCGGAAAAAACAGTCAATGGAATGTCGGGGAAGGTGGAATGCGGGATTGCACACGAACGGGATTAGAAGATGAGATATCAATCAAGGTATCCCATTGAATGAAATCGATCAATCAACCAGTTAATTAATCAAATCAATCCGTCATAGAGTGATGACAATGATAGCCATTTCACCAAGGTTGAAAATTACCAAGAGATTTGGTATAATCCTTTCCCCTCTTCAAAAAGTGAAAGTAATAAGAACGAATGTAAAGTTGAGGTTTTGTGGTGATGTAAGAAAAACACCAGAGAGAGGACGAGAAGGGTTTGGCTGTAGGAGGAGGCGGAAGAGGAAGCAGACGAAAAAGGAAAATTGGGGAAGTAGTAGGAGATTAATTTAATGTGGAGTTTAAGGGTCGTAGTACAGATTGTAATTGGAGGAAGAGGTGAGGGAGGAGGAGGAGGAGGAGGAGGAGGAGGAGGAGGAGGAGGAGGAGGAGAGAAGTATGGATGGAAATGGAAAGAGAGGAAGAGGAGGAGAGAGGAAGAGAGAGAGAGAGAGAGAGAGAGAGCGAGGAGCGAGGAGAGAGGAGAGAGAAAGCGCGATGAATAGAGAGGTGGATGGATGGATGGATGGATGGATGGATGGATGGATAGATGGATGGATGGATGGATAGTGTAGATAGATAGCTAGGGAAAGGTAGTACTGTAGTAAAATAAAATCAAAGTAGAAAAATGGAACGATAATAGATCCAGAAAAATCCGTTCCAAGTATGATTTGATTGATTTGATTGATTGATTGAATGATTGAATGAGGACATAGGACATAAGGAAAGAACCTAGGAAGAAAGAAAAGAGCAAGTAAGTGTCCCTAGTATCTATCCAGTATCTACTACCTACTACCTACTATCTCCTCCCTAGTTCACTTCTTATTAGTCTATTTGTCAAGTACTGGGTTACGAAAAGTACTGGTGATTCGTAAAGGTCTTTATTTAGTGTTGCTCGTGAACCCAAAAAGCGTCGTGGATGCCCAAATGAAAATGGAAATTGAAAGCGGCAAGTAACCTTTTCTGGGTGGACCGATATACCCCATGTGAAGTTTAGGTTTTATTAATAAATATGTCTCATGTCGATACGTGATTGGTCAATGGTGAGGGTGATCTTACTTTTTTTTTTCTTTTTTTTTTCCCTTTCCTGCTTAGCGTTTCATAAAATGGTCTCGTCCCGTTGCGAAGCTATTAGTATTGGGAAGATGCTAGCTAGTATGGTTAGTAGTTGGTAGTTGGTAGTTAGTAGTTAGTATTGCTATGCTAGTCTTGCTATGCTAGTCTTGCTATGCTAGTCTTGCTATGCTAGTATACCTATGCTAGTATACCTATGCTAGTATACCTATGCTAGTATACCTATGCTAGTATACCTATGCTAGTATACCTATGCTAGTATACCTAGTGTGGCTATTGCTATTGCTATTGCTATTGCTATTGTGTATGAGGCTGAATTAGCTTTACAATAGTTTCAATTAGAGTACTTGACCCAGCTACCGAGGACCTCCAGGAGATGAATCGAGGGAAATGTCTTGAACCTCTTAAACTCAAAACCCGTCGTGGTGTCAGTGTCAGTCGAGAGTAGTCGGTCGGTATTAATGATGGGATGGTGCAGAGTGGAAGAGAAGGAAGATGAAGGAGGTAAGGGAATTGATGGTGGTCAAGAGGTGGAAGAACTTCTGTTATGCTATTGGTACGTACTCCATTCCCTCTCTTTTCCAATCCAATCATATCTATCAAACCATTCCCTCTCTTTTCCAGTCCAATCATATCTATCAAACCATCCCCATCCTCATCCTCACTCGCCCAGCCACCTCACAGTCTCCAATCTACATGCCATGGCGTGGTGGCACTCGTATCGGACAAGTGCCTTTTGAACCGTTGGAAAGTGTCTTGGAAAAACGCCTTCGTTTGCTTGATTGATGATTGACTAGTCACTAGTGATACCTACCGCATGAGATGGAAAAAGTAACTTTTGGCTTTCTTGGTCAGTCAACACTGACATTACATGATTTCTTATTATTTTTGGTGTTGTGTACCGTGTACCGTGTACCGTGTACTGTGTACTGTGTACCATGTGAACTCCTGATCAATTCGAAACCAAATTGCTATTTATTGTACGGGCTGGACTGGTTAGAGTTATACATGCTAGGTAGGTAGGTATATAAGTATATAAGAGTAGAAATGCTTTTTCTCGAGATGTCCTGTTTTGGGAATTCATGAGTAGAGTACCGCGAGTACCTAGGTAAGCAGACACTCCTTCTAGATCTAATCATGACTTGCTTTTGCCATGTACTCCATCCCAAGCCTAGTGGATATGTAAATCTACTAATACAGTCTACTATGTACTTCGTACAGAGGACTAGATATGCATCTAATAAATGCATCTAACAAATGCATCCAAGTTCCAACAGCATCGAACTATTCCAACCGTCTCCCACTGCATCTAAATATGCATCCAAATGTGCAACACAAAAGCAGCATGATATCTTTAACCCATAATCATCATAATCATCATCATCTTCCCCTCTTTCACACTAAACTACCTTGCCGTTCCCGTCTTGTCAATTCTCTTACGCCTACACGAGTCCTTCACAACCATTCATCGTTCACACTTCACCACCAGTTCCTCACGACTGTGCACATCCAGGTACCAAAGGTATCTCTGACCATTCGATCGTCAATTCTCAACGTCAATTAAGCAAAGGATATGCGAGATGCATTTTTCAGTTATACAACAGGCAAACTCAACCATTTCCCCCCTGGTACAGCTGAAATGGAAGTGGAAAACATCACACGCCCGAAACGCCCGAAATATCGATATCAATTGAAATTCTCGATTTGATTTGATTTGATTTGATTTGATTTGATTTCTATTTCCATCTTTATTTCACATTTTGCCTTTCCGTAGAGTACCTCCTTCTTCCATGATCCACCCAAAACTTTCCTTTCTCTTTTCTATCAATCCTGCCGTCCGTGTCTTTCATTTCTCTTCATCTCATTCGTCGATGGAGTGAAAATCACTGCTGTCAATAATCAACACTGCCGAGCACAACTAACCTCCAAGTATCAAAAGTCTCTTGATAGTCAGGGACTAGTTGCAGCCATTCCACCATCCACTCCGATCCCATCCAAGCGAGAAGATGCATCATGACAAGAGAGGATCATGGCATCTCAAAAGGGTTCGGCATGGCCGCATGTAAGTTTATCTTGCCGTTCGCTCGATCTAAACGATTCCGGAGTCCGTATTTCAATTCATATACATATAAAGCATATCTTCTCTACGATACATAGTTATATAACTCCTCTCCGATACATAATTATCTCGACACGAATTCCCCAGAACGGACCACGGAAATCATATCAATATCAACACGATCAATAAGAAAATGGATCCAAATGCCCATCTTTTCTTTCCTTCCCTGACTTCTTCCCTTATCCACTTCTATTTGAAACCTTTTCGTCGTCATTGACATGCTTTAGTGCTGCAAGTGTTGTCGATGGTAATTTTCCTAGACCCACTCCAATCAATTCTCATGTTAGGATTGTGTGATGCATGGATGATGAGAATTGAATTGACAATAGACTTTTCTTGTGAGGAGTTCATGAATTTATATGAAGTTATACATCAAATATTGGTCAAGAGAGTATCTAGAGAGTATCCAAAGTATCCAGAGAGTATAAACAAACAAACACAAACACAAACACAAATACAAACACAGAAATAAAAAGTAAGAAATCAAAAATCAATTGAACTTAATCCACCCATGGAACTTATTTGGGTCTTTTACTTGGGTATCGATCACCCTATAGCCTATCTAGTACCATCCATAGTATCATTAGCTTTCCCTTTCCTTCCTCATCAATCACACGCAGTCCACGGCTATTCTCACATCTTCCTTCCCGAAACCACCCATTATCATACCCGTGCTCGATCGACATCACACACTCATCCACAACATCCACACATACATCCATCCATCCACACATTTCGAAAGATAACTAAAATAACTCCCGAGAAAATGCGTATTACATACGAATCATATTAATATAATATGAACCCCTTCTTTTCTACTCTCCATTCCATTCTCCGCTCTACTCTGCTTTTCGATTGCTATTTCTGTGTCTGTGTCTATTTACGATGTGATATGATATAATACGATTTGATATTTATTATTTAGATATATAGTATGTAGTATGTAGTTTATTTTATATTTAATAGAAAAAAGTCTTTATTTTATATTTTTTCCATTTCAATTTAGCTTTCCGCTTTTATCAATCTTTTGTAGATCTCTTTCTGATCCGGTTATTCCTTTAGAATAAAGCTTCTTTTCATATTCTTTATTTATAATCTGTTTTCGAATTATTCGTATGATTGTTTTCGAAAGCTTATAAGCGGTAATCATATGATTTGGTTATGTAATTCGCTACTAGTAGATTACATGAATATAGAATTATAATATTTATATTCAAAAGGATGTATTTATTATATTATTTTTTAATCAAAAATAATAATTAATTTAATTATTGTTAAATAATATGAGTTTGAAAGTGTACAGTGGTTATATGGATAAGTCGTGTAAAACGCTAATTGACCCACATTTAGCTGGGATATCGAAATACATAGATTCAATTAGTTCATTCTATCTGTTTTGATATTGCTTTTAAAAACCTATTTTGAATCAATTCTAGAAAGTACTTTTAGAAATTGTTATAAGAAATATCGTTTTTAATATTTTCTTATAATGAATATGCTGAAAAAGAATAATATTCGAATTGATTAAAATAAAAGAAGTCAATCTATTATTATTTAATTTATTATTGATATTCTCAAATACTAAATCTTTATTATTGTTTATTATATCACTATTACCTTATATATCTGAATATCAAAAAATAACTAAAGATTAACAAATCGAAATATACATTTTATATTACACTAATATAAAATTTAAAAAAATTCAATCTTTTTTTTTTAAAGAAAAAATAAATCTAATATATAAATAGATTTATTATATTATTAAAATATAAGCAATTCCTTAGAAACATTCTGATTAACCCCTTATTTTGATTATTAATTAAATCAATTAATTTATTCAATTTATAAACAAATCAAAAACAAATAAGTATATACTATATTAGAAAATTACTTTTATACTATTTTGAAAAGAAATAAGGGAGTTTACTATTCGATTTGCTTTATATAAAACAGAATATAAATATTATATTACTCTTCGAAAATCTCTTATATTAAAAAATAATCAACAAATCCGATTACAATTTATACTAGATTATATTCATTAGACTAAAAAACAATAGAATATTATTTTATAATCAAATAAAATATAAATAATTATAGGATTATATAGAAAAACATATATTATATATCAAAAGAATAAAGCTCTTAATCCTATATACATATTAAAAAGAAAACATAGAAAAACTGAATAAATATTTTGGAACTGTTTTTCAGGCAAATCAGACAAAGGATTAGATATATTTTGGGAAAAGGATTAGAGTTCTATTAATACTAAATCTTATTAAATATATATAATACTCATTATATATA